AATTCGCGGAATCGCTCTGTTCAAACTTTTCGTTCTGGAGATTGCATCTTGTGTAAAATCAATTAAGTTCAATTACAACGACAATCACGTATCAATAATTATTTAATCGACTACAAAACAATTATTTTTTTGTTATTCGATCTATTTGCAATATATGCATCATTTGCATAACTATTTTTAATCTTTCAATAATTATTATATCAACAAAAATAATTATTTGTTTTGAATTGAATTTATGCAAAATCTTTTTATTAATATTAATTAAATTTATAATCCAAAAGTTACAATTCTCATACATTTATTATAATTTTCTTTATGGTTGCCTTTAATAATTGTTGCATTTAAAAATATTATTCCAATAATATTAATTCCCTGATATAAAAAAAACAATAGAATTGCAACTGATCCTGTATGCTCTTTCTTTTCTATAGTTTGAGATTACAAAAGTCGAGATTACTCATTTTTCATATTCACATTTATTCACGTCTACATTTTACTGGAAATTTTCTTGTGAAAAAAATTTAGTTTTTCAAAATATAAAAAAAGATATTAAAATTGAAACATATATACGCATCAAGTTACAAAATTATTATAAAATTGTTACGTCGTAATCGTAAATAAATATACGACAAATAAAATCTTTTTTTCGATAGAGAGAATTTAAATAAAAAATATTTTTTATTCTTTTTCCTTCTCTATTTTAATTTGAAGCACGTGTTTGCGGTGACGCATGGTTATTCGCGAATTGAACTAGTCGAGGACAGTAATCTTGTCCACCTAATTATGCGAAATTGGTAACATTACTCGAAATCGTGGTCCGACGATAGACCGATCATTTATTTTAGCGCGACTGAATTTATTTTAGCGCTGTTGAAATGGAAAAAGTAATTGCGAACGAGAGGAATGATCCCATTTACGCGACGATGCCTCGCACATATGTACGCGCGTGCGTTTCAGCGTATGAATCTCATTACGTTACGTGACATTTAGAAAATGTGCTTTTATAAATAAAAATAAAACTTGGAAAAATTCGCGGAATCGCTCTGTTCAAACTTTTCGTTCTGGAGATTGCATCTTGTGTAAAATCAATTAAGTTCAATTACAACGACAATCACGTATCAAATAATTCAAAAATTGTTCATGTATCCCTCATGGATCCACAAAAAAAAAAAAAAGAAAAAAAAAAAGAGAGAGAGAGAGAGAGAAAAAGAAATATCTACAATTTTCCTTATATTTACGAATCGTATATATTATATTTTTCATTCGCGCGTTATATCTAAAAATTTCTTTCTGTGGCTCAGATATTTTTTGCAGATGAAGTTAAAGTTGCTAAGGGCTAAGGGCGTCGAAGGACGATCATCGGATGATCGTTGCTTCGGGGCAGGAAGAAACGGCGGCGTTTTAAGATTCGCCAAGGACGAAATTACACATATGGAGAGGAGCCTGCGAAATAATGATTATAGGTTACTCGTTTTAGCTGGAAGTCTCTCTCGAGCCCGGATCAACCTGGCCTTAACTCGTAACTTTCGCTTTGCTTTATCACAATAACTTGTGGTGAGCGTGCTATTCGATATTAAAAAATGGAGCAATTATAAACGCAACTGTAAAGAAAATTATAAATGCATAATCTAAAACTATTGAATTATAAATTTTATCAATATTAATTTAAAAATTGCATAATCCTAATTTAGAATAATTATTCTTGTTGATGTTAGCAATTATTTCGACTTAAATGACAAATAAAAAATTAAGAATCCGTCATCTTAAAAATTTCTCGAGTATAATTTGTTTATAAAATTGAAACAATTTAATTTAAAAGTATTATATCTAAATAAAGAAAAATAAATTATAAATTTATGAATATAAAAAAAATTTTAATACTAATAAAAATTAACATAATTTGATTGACATTTAAAAATCTAATAAATGGAATCGAGAGAGAGAGAGAGAGAGAGAGAGAGAGAGAGAGAGAGAGAGAGATAAAATACAAATCAATTCCATCGATTCATATCAATTCAAATTTGAAGTTTTAGAAAGAGACAAGAAATAAGTCTCTCTTAATTCTTTTAGATTAAATTTTAATTAATACTTATAGAGGGGGGGGGGAATAATATTCAATTGCAACGTATCTTTTCGAAGTCAGATAACCAGTTCACGCTTCAGCCGAGAAACACGAGCGATTTCTTAGATAAAAGCGGCGAAAATTGGCGCCGAGAGCTAATAATGCAATTAGCGATTCTGACAAAACATTGGTATGCGAAATTTAACGCTCGCGCTTACGTAAAATGTGCAATCGTGACATCAGGATAAGAATAGCGTTTCCTCTTGATGAGAAGATTATCGGCGCAAGCATCGCTCTAAAAATACGGAGACGCACGCTGCTCGCAATATCCTTGCGAAATGTTTTTGTTACAATTACACAGCGTACAACACCTTACCACGTTATCGCGAGTTAATTGCTCAAACTCAAGTTGCCAGGAGGTGCACCGCGATTCTCACGACAGCTTGAACTGAACGCAACAAAGATTACTTTGTAAAAAGCAAACAAATTAAAAGAAATTGATGATTTATTCTCGAAAATTGAATATGTACTTAATTCTCAAAGTTAGAACTTTCTTGATGTGTATGTTTCAATTTTAATATTTTTTTTTATATTTAAAAAAACTATACTTTCTCACCAGAAAAATTTTCAATAAAATGCAGATGTTGTAAATAAGCGCGAATGAAGAAAATTTGATAACGAGTAATCTTGACTTTTGTAATCTCAAACTATAGAAAAGACAGCACACAGAATTAGTAATAATTAGTTGTAATTCTACTTATTTTATATCAGAAAATCCTAATATTAATAGAATAAGAAAGTTTTTAAATGCAACAATTATAAAAGACAACTATAAAGAAAATTGATTTAAATATAAAAACTTTTGTATAATCCCAATTCAGAATGAACAATTATTCTTGTTGATGAAGCAATTATTTCAGCTCAAATGACAAATAAAAGATAAAGAATTCCATCATCTTTCTTATTTCTTGAGTTTAATTTATTCATAAAATTAAAATAATTAAATTAAAAAATCTTATGTTTGAATAAAGAATAATTAACTATAAATAAAAAAAATTGAAATATAATAAAATATTATTAAATATATTATATATATAATAAAGTGTTTATAAAAAAATTTAATTTTTATTCTAGGTATGATTTTTTGCCCGAATCGAAAGTGAATCGCTTTTAATTGGTCACTTATAATATAATAAATATCGCGCGAGGAATACTTCTCGTGGTTGTCACGGTTCTAGTCGCCATCCGTTATAACAATCTTGTTAATTTGCGAAGAAGTTTCTCCTCCGCGAGTATAAAAAAAGAGAATTCGTAAAAGACTTCCTTAACATAGGCCTAGCAAAACACGCTCAGCGCTGGTTTAATAAATTGGCGGAAGGAATTCGATGCGCGCGGCGCTCACGACCAGCTGATCGAGGAAAAACATCCGAGAACGTTCATTCGCGCGGGGCTGCTGGGAAATCAATACGCACATAGAGAAACGACGCGGTTCATCTCTCTCGATGCCGATTAATTGCCGATAGAAAGAGATTAATTTAAAATGGATAAAGAGGCACACAAGGAAAAAGTACGCGATAACTTATATACGCTATTATTTAAGTTAGTTAGTAAGTTTTAATTTATTCCAAGAGTTATTATTCCTGAGTTATTATGTGCATCTCACCGGAGATTTTTTATCTAATCAAACTCAAGATACCAGTCGCGAAAATAACATGTGTGTGTTACTCAAATAGAATGTTACATAATTAACGTATAATTTTCCACTTATCAGTGTTATAAAAGATTATCGCGAATAAACTTATGCAACAATATATCATAAAAATCGTTCGAAAAATTATGGTATATTAGCATTTTAATAGTATATTATTTAATAATACGTTCTTATCAATCTGCGTGTGAATTTTTATTGTGGAGAATGAGAATGATAAAAATGTCTAACCCTGTGTGATAAAAATGTCATGGCGTGAAGGGAAAAAGCGATGATGTATTAAATCGAAAAATACATCCGGTTTATAAAAAGGCGCATAAATATACGTACTGTTTGATTCTACGCCAATTGTCGTATTGTTATAAAACGCAATAAAAGAGCGGATGCCAAGAAAAAAAAAAAAAACAAAAAAGAAGAAACTACATAATACAAAATTCAAGTCCATTATATATTCGCGTAATTCATTGTAATTAAGTCCGAGATAAAGAGAGAGAGAGAGAGAGAGAGAGAGAGAGAGAGAGAGAGAGAGAGAAAGATTAGTCCATTTACACACACACACATGCTTTATTTAATATAAAAATTCTCTCCCTCTCTCTCTCTCCGTCTTTCTCTCTCTTTTATATGAATCAAACGTATGTATTATTTTAGTCAACTCTCAAAATATTTTACAAAATCGATGCAATTATCAGTGAATTTATAAAGATAAATAAATATCAGGTTTGTAAAATTGATAAATTGATATCTATATTTATATCTATGCATATCTATTAATATCTAAGACTTGATATATGTTTATATAACTAAATAAAAATAATAATAATTAAATAATAATAAATAAATAATAAATTAATTTATATTGGTCCACTCTATCGTTTAATAAGATTAATAATACATCTCACAAATTAAAAATGCATACGACATTTAATATTCACAGATTTTTCGAGAGTCTGAATCGAACATATGATAAACAAGATAGAATTACGTCAGGATGATTAAACGCGACACCGTTCTATCACGAGCATCTGAATCTTGCGACGATTTCCATCAAGCTGGTAAGGACAGTGAGATACTGAATGAAATGAAATTCGAAATACACGGGAAGAAGAATCTCGACGCGATCTCGCGCGCGCGCGCGCGCGCGAAATTCGAGTCGCGCGCGCTCGCGTTTAATAAAGAAAGAGAAAGAAGAAATTCGGTCGCGAGAGAGACCGAATACGATGATGCACTAACCTTGATCGTCGGTCCAGTTTCGAACGAGCACCCCCGCGTCTCCGTGGGCCTCCTCCGCCTCCTCCTCCTCCTCTTTCTCCTTCACCTCCTCCACCTTGCGCTCCTTCACCTGCGGGCGGGCGTAGACGCAGCTGTGAATGACGTTGTCGTCGGGACTGCTCGAGGACTTATCGCGATGACAGATCTCGACGCTCACGAGGAAAGGGGTCCTGGGCCCTTTCTTTCCGCGACCCCGTGTAGGGGGACAATCCGTGTCTCTCGCACCGCGAAATTCCACGAATCTTCCTCCTCGTATCCCTCTCCTCTATCGCGACTTCCACTCACTCTCTTTCTCTCTCCCTCTACCTTTCTTTATCACCGTACACACGGAAAATGGCAGCCCTACTGTACTCGCGGGCAGGCCAACGCTTGCCAACTCGCGCACTGACACGGACCGAAGGGCGACCGCGGGAATAACGTATCCGCGGATGTCTCAGAACGGCTCCCGACGCGATCGGACCTCACTTCCGGTGGTCGAGGGAGAGGGAGAGGGGGTCGCGTGGGACGATCGCGCACTGACGAAGGGCCGAGTCCACGCCGAATTCGGGAAAGGAAGCGCGAGTCGGTGTTTACGACGCGGCACCGCGTACGTTCTGCAATTGACCCTGCATCCCGTTGGCATCACTGTGTATGCAGCTAACTGTCGCTAACGCGAGCTAGTCCCCGGCTCCGCCGTGAGATGGCGACGGGCTTCACGGGTGGGGGAGGGGGCACGTTGACAAGTTGCCGTTCTTGCAGTTATTGCTTCGATCAGCTGAGCGACGGTTCAGATGGTTCGAAAGATTTGACACAGAGGGCTCTTGCATACACGCAAGATACGTTATATTTTCGCAATTTTACATATATATAATAAAAGTATTTTTTATTATATGTCGCAATCTTTATATATAATTTTATTTTTTTTATATTGCAATATTACTTTACTCTATTATATCTAATCAACAACAAAAAAAATACATATATGTATACCAGAAAAAAGTTTTGCAGGAGACGTCATGTCGATACTTTCGGTAGAATTTATATCTGTAGTAGGAACATGAAATTTCCTGTATAAAGAGAGAAGTGCTATTGCTTTTCTACTTTTAAAAGTTGGTATTACTTGTTGTAGGTCAAGTTTATTTTTTGACACTGCCGGTAAAATCGTCTTTTCGTGCTAATTCACACTATATATCTATATAAATCATCAAGAACATCTTAATTTTTATTCAAATTACAATTACTTAAAAATAACAATTTATTTAATATAGAAAATCTAATAAATTTGTGGCATTCTTAATCGTACTCAAATTGTTCTAATTAATTATGCGATAAAAGCTATCTAAATAAAACAATATAAATAAAATATGCTTTTTTGCCTATTTTTGAGTATTTTTCTCAAAATAAGTTATTTAAAATTAAAAAATAATGCGGTCTCTTCTGTAGTTATATGTTGATAGCTATTAGCATTTATCGACTAGTAAAATATTTCTTGACGATCGAAAGTGTGTTGACATAACATTACGTATTTATTGTAATGTCATGTATCGAGTATCGTTAGTCTTCGATGGTCTCTCGAAATGATAAGATCTCGAAAGTGTTGTGATTATATATACTTTGAATATTACATAAATAGTGATAATAGATCGTCAGATTTACAACAGTTAATTTTTATTTATGAGGATTGCATATTTGAGTAATAAAACTTGTGGCATACAACCTTAATATACAGGGTAAGTTAATAGAAATAGAACACATACATATATGTATATCTGTCGTTACATTAACGAAATATGAAAAAATAGAATAAAGAATTTAAATAATTCTAATATACAAGTACAACACAAGCATAGTTTTATTTTCTCAAAGTTAACTTTGACAGTTATTTTAACAGAGAGACGATTTCGAAGGCATATCATAATAATGTGTATATTGTGTATACGTTAAAATAATTTTAATTAAAGTAACATAATAAATATAAACAGAATAATTGTGCATGATTTATACTTGATTCAATTTATGAGACAATACTACAAGAAGTAAAGATTGAATAAAATTAGATATATATAATAACGATTAATCCTCCCTTAGACGCAATATCCAATACATACACGTTATAACGTTATTGATGTATAACATTCAAAATTAAAGTATGTACAGATGTTAAAGCAGATTAAAATAAGAATTGTTTAAAAATAAAAATTATCTTTGCCACCCCACATTAGTTTTGTTTATTTAATATATTGCTAACACTTTAGCTTTTTCTATCCATCCTAATAATTCGGGAGAAAAATATTGCGTCTAACGGAGAGTTAAACATATACATATACAACACAGAATAGTATCGATAATAGAAAAGATATAGGCGGAACAAAATATATACAATATATGACTTTAAAAACACGTATAAAAATATGTAAATATTGATACGTATAACGGAACTTGATTTGTTACAAATTCAATGTGCTTTTCCGTTAAAACTGAGAGAAATGTCTTATTGGATTTTTCAATCAGTGACAAATAAGCAATTGAGCTTTGTTTACGATTGAATGTAAAAGCTTTAATTCATAAATGAGAATTTGGTAAAATAAACTGTTTTTCCGAAATTATATCTTATGCAATATTAATTTTGTTTAAAAAAAATTAAATAAATCGATTTAGATTATACAAAGAGTACCTAACACGATTAATAAAGTTGATATAAAAGAAAAACTGATTTTTTATTATTTTTATTATATATTTTTTCTTTGAGATTATCTAAATTATGTCGTAATGTTATAATAATATAAATTATGTTACATTTTATCTTCAAAATCAAGAAAAGTATTTAAGAATTTTATTTCTAATTTGAAACTTATATTCTTTCTCTCTATTTAACTTAAAATATAAAAATTATAATGTAAAATAAAAACATCTAGTAAATTGTAATAAAATTGGTAAAACAGATAATTCATTACAATAGACAAACTCAAGTAAATACATATGAAATTATTATAATTATACTCTAGAGAAATAAATTTAGACACAAAGGCAAAGAGTGCATGTATATATGTGTATATATTATACACATATATATTATACACATATATTGATTACCCAAAATATTTATTTACTACGTAATATTGTCTCATATTTTTACATGCCTTTTCTTCTACGAATCATTTGCTTGCAATTTACTCAACCTTTGATGTTTTACGTTGTAATTTCTATATCATAAACTATCATTATTTATCTTATTCTCTCTCTCTTTCTCCCTCTTCCTCTCCCACCCCCTCTCTCTCTTTCTCTCTCTCTCTCTCTCTCTCTCTCTCTCTCTCCCACTTTCTTCTAATCTTCATATTCACGTAATATAAGAAATTTTTCTCAATCTTTTATATAGCATCACCTTCCTTCTCTTTCGCGCTAACCATCTCTCTTGCTTTCTTTGTTGCAGCGATCACTCAATCAGCAATCGTGTGGATCGTCGCGGCCACCCGACGTATTGCGAGTGCGGCGAGGTGACGAGGCCCTTATGACGACGCGAGGAGACGGCCGAGAGTGCCCTGGCCACATCGCAGTCCGATTTCTAGGCCCCGTTCACTCTACCCGTCCTCGACCGTCCTTCCGGCCCTTCGGCCGGCGATCTCTCTCGTTGAACTCTACTTATATGTTTTCCGGCAGCATTTCTCATTCCGCTCTCATGGCACTACCGCACGTGTCTAAATCAACATTCGCGTTTAAACGCATACATCAATACGTACGGACGTACCAGACGTACACATATACACATACTGATACGGAACGCAGGAATGAGGAAATAATCTTTCAATTCTCCCGGCGACTTGTCCGCCGACTATAAAGAGTAGAATTGCTCCCGCAGTAGTTGCTGCAATGTTACCACGTGGTTATTGCGTGGTTAATTGGTACAAGGGCGGTTCGTGGCTAGTAATTACCAGTGGCTGTGCCGCGAGCTTGGTGGTAATTGAGCGATTGACGCGATTATAAAGCGCGCGCGACGATGAAAAGTACCGCTCGCGTGATGCATATCGCACGATCTGACGAAAGGTAAGCGCAAATTGGTTATCACGTACAGAATGAATAATTTCACTCTATACTGAGATGCTTAATGTTACATAAACAGTGCATTACGAGCTCAATGGCGTTTTGTTAATTATTAATTGTTAATAATGTCTTGAAAATATTTTTTTTTTTCGTGACATACATACGTATAATAGAAAATGTTAAATTAGACAATCTTGGAAAGAATGAATATGATTCGAAGGAAGAATTAGTTTTGCGTATATTTTAACTTTATATCATAAACAGTGACTGTTGGCCTCTACGCTCGCGCTAATTAATTTCATTCGACGATAGCGCGCGCTTTGAATTCTTCCGACGTTATTCCCACCCCCTCTCTCTCTCTTTCTCTCTCTCTCTCTCTCTCTCTCTCTCTCTCTTTCTCTCTCTCTTGCTTACTATCTAATCAGAAATTTAATAATTTTCTACATAAATCTATTTTTTTAAATATAATTATAATGGCTTTAATATTTCTTATGTTTACTCCTTCTCTCTTTTTCATATATGTTTACGACAGAGAAAGCACACTGTACTACATTTTATTTCTTCATTTACTCTTTTTTATAATGAAATTTTTGCAGATATTTAAAGTAAAAAATAACATGACATGTTTAAAATTGCTACTAAGTGGCAGTTTAACACTCATCATCATGACAGCTCTTGTTACCGCTGAAGACAGTTTACCGAAATATATAATACCAGAGCATTATAACATCAAACTTAAAACATATATTGACGATAATAAATTCTACGGTGAATGCAATGCTAGTATCAATATTATTCAACTAACGCAGAACATAAATTTGTATGCGGAAAAACTATGCATAATTGACATAATCCTAATTAAATCTTTAGAAGGATTTGATAAAGATGATAAAAAAATTAAAATTATTAAATCAGAATATTCATATAATAATGAAACGCATATTATCAACCTTTATTCCACGGAAATGTTACAGAAGAATTATATTCTAAATATGAGATTTATAGGTACTTTAACTGATAATAGAGGAATTAGAACTTTCTACAAAGGATGTGAAAATACAGTGTTAGTAACTCTCTATCAAATGTTAAATATGTATTATATTATTAAACATACATACACACACATATATATATATATATATATATCAATATGCATATGTGTGTGTAAGTGCACGAGCGTATATGCATGCATGCAGATACGTGTGCCATCGCATCCCGCCGACATTTTGCCTGCATCGCTCGCGGCGAGGTGCGCTACCCCTTCTTCTTCAACTTGGCATTCTACTTGGTTGATGGCATCATTTATCGCAAGAAAAATAATGAGATTAGGATAATCTACCACATATTTATTTTTTTTTATATATAATACATTAATATTATTATAATATCTATATAGTAAATTATCACAAACAAAAATGTTATTACACATTGAATAATTTTAATATAAAAAAACATTTTTTAATCGTCGTGCATAGTGTATTAAACAGTATATAATATAATAATAATATAATAAAAGATATGTGAAACTATTCTTTGCATACTATGAAATAAATTCTCTAGTTTCTGATAATATTTTTATACTTGTAAAACACAATTTATCTTTATGTAATTTCTGCTCTTAAAATATGATAGGTGGTCGCCTGCAATGCATTTCAAGATATCTTACGCATAACAAATATTTCCATGCTGGGATGATCCAACATTTAAAACCACCTTTAACATTTCTATAATGCACTATAAAGATTACATGGTTTCGTCGAATATGCCAGGACGAGAAGAAGAAGCAGATGAAAACGGCATGGTATGGACACATTTTGATGATGAATTGATGATGTCACAATACAATGTAGACAACACAATTTATTTGATTATTTGTATGCACAAAGTATCATAGCAGGTATCACGCTGTTTTTAAAACGCGAATGGGAAGATGTAAAGGTGATTTCGAAAGTAGATAATATCGCAATTCCGAATTACGAAGATGACATGATAAATTTGGGACTTATTTTTTATAGGTAAATATATGCGAATATGCCAGGACGAGAAGAAGAAGCAGATGAAAACGGCATGGTATGGACACATTTTGATACCACTTCTCCAATGCCGATTTATCTGGTTGCGGCAGTTATGGCTAATAAATCAGAATTTTCTAAACTGAAAGCTGGAATTGATGATGTCACAATACAATGTAGACAACACAATTTATTTGATTATTTGTATGCACAAAGTATCATAGCAGGTATCACGCTGTTTTTAAAACGCGAATGGGAAGATGTAAAGGTGATTTCGAAAGTAGATAATATCGCAATTCCGAATTACGAAGATGACATGATAAATTTGGGACTTATTTTTTATAGGTAAATATATGAGTAAAGGAATAATATAAAGAGATGACTTAATTTATTAAAAAATAGACAATTATTATTTGTATAGTTAATGTTAATATAAAGCAAAATCTATAAAATGTTGTGATATCTGAGTTTGTTCAATTAAAAACATATATTTTTATTGAAAATCAAGTATATCTTAGAAATTAGAAATATTTATACACTAATGTTGCAATAAATAATAGTAACATACGCAAAACTTAATTGTTAGAAAAATGACTTGAGTGTGCGTTGGAAATGTTTTGATCGAATAAAATGTTCCGGAAAAAATTCGGTTTATATTTGACATCCCCTTGTATATGAAAGAGGTAACTTTACATAAAGAGAAAATCTCATTAAACACATTAAATAGGCCTTACACATAGACACACAATACAATTAACTGGACATTATTTAAAAATAATTTTTAGAGCATCAGATATTATATATGATGAAGATAGAGACCCACCTGGAAGCAAAGTCAAAGTGGCGCGCTTAATAGGATATAAAGCAGCACAAGAATGGTTTCATAATGTATTTAAATCATCTTGGTGTTCTATCCCGTGGTTGCACAAAGCTTTTATTACATTCATGGGAGCATATGCTGTCGATAAGGTCATTTTTATATCTTTAAGATTGTTAGTCAGTACGTTAAATACTTGTTGACGTATGGCAACAAGTATTTGCAAAATATTTTTAGTATCTCTAAACTCTTTTTATTTCATGAAACTAGAATATTGATTGCATACACTCGATATTCTTATATTTTTATAAAATTTGAAATATAAGATAATTATGAGCGAAAGCTGGCAGTTACATTATGTAGACTTAAATTGAAGTAATATAGAAATAAAATCTGTAATAAAACAGAAATTTTTCTGAATGTTTTTAAGAGAATAATTATTGTAATATTAAATAATACACATTACTTTAGCAATATCTTATTATGGTTTCAAAAGAGATATTTCTTTTATCATCAAGACACACACACACACACACACAACACACACACACACACACACACACACACACACACACACACACACACGATCTATATGTATCGTAAATGCGAAGTTTTTCTGCAAATTTATATCACATTAAAATTTTCTTTCCAGGATTTTCCAGAGACTCGGATGATGGATTTGTACGTCGTCCAAATTCAACATGAAATTTTGCATTTGGATGTTGATTTTCAGTCTTATACGTCACAAGCCGCCTTCTCTGAAGTAATCTCTTACCTCAAAGGTATGATAATGAAAATATAATTAAGAATTGTCAGTGTAAATCGTTTTTAAACATAAGTGATATATAAAAAACTTATTTTTCTTGATATTTTAATTAATTGATTAATATTAAATATTGTACTATAAAAAATATATATACACATATACTTATGTATGTATATACTTAAATATATAGGATGGCTCATACATAACTGTTAATAGTTATTAATATCTCATGCTATCAATTTTAATCGCTCTGGTCTTAAACTTCATAGATGTCAGCGGCCTTTAAATCTATGTCAAGATTGATTTTCCTCCGATCCCTTTAAAGTAAAGAATAAAGCCAGGATCAGATTTGAAGTTCTAAATGGTTCTCTATATAAAATTAGTTCTTTCCATAATCTACATTAGCAAACGAATAACTTTTTTCTAAAATATTTTTTCTTAAAATCATTTCTTTAAAAGTTATGAACCCTTAAACTTCGAAATTTAGTGACCTAATTAAATAAGGATTGACTGAAAATGAAATTAAAACGCAGAGTAATATAATAAAATTCAATTTATTAAAATTAAATGCTCAAAATGTTCAACATCAAAATCATTATTATTCTCATATTCAATATTTTTAGTACAGCTATTTATATTTTATAACATACAATTATAATTTAAACTTACTTTTTTATTATAATTTTTTATTATAATTTTTTATAAATATTA